CACTATTGCGTCACCGAGGTAACACAGTTCTATAACTAGCTTTTTACTTTCTACCACATATTCATAGTTCAAAAACCAAGGCAAAAACTAATGTCAAGGAAAATCTTGAGACAGAGATACCTGAGAAGCCAAGAAGTGCAGAACATTAGCTAAAATTGTAAAGAGTAAAGCACAGGAAAGGAGCAAAGTGACAACTAGCAAACGAGAGAGTATGACACCGACAAAGCACAATCACAAGAAGAAGAATCCAATGGTTTATGAGGTTTCTGATGATCTTGATGAGCAACCAAGCAAGAAAATAAAGCTAAACAAGGAGCAACTAAGTACTTTATTTTTAAACTATTTTAAATGAATGGTTTGTCATTTATATGTTGAGTAAAAGAAGACATTAAGGTAGTGATCAAGGACAAAGAAGACAACAAGATTTCTATCAAAGAGAAGGAAAGAGTTAGAGAAGTTGATGTTTAAGCTTCCACCAATAACCTCAAGGAATCAACTTAATGCAATAGGCATCAACCTTAGAAATGTGAAAGCAAGAAGCAATGAAGTGGCTAATGATATGATGAACCTCTTTTGGGGTATGGAGGAAAAACAAAAAAGTAAACAAGCTTACTTCAAGTTTGATTAGGGGCGGGAGGAGCAATAAATTCCAAATTTAATACACTTGAACCAACTACTTTACAGGAATATGAAGTTGAATAAATGACAATTGTTGTTGCTAGAGGGTATGTGAGGGAACTACTTTGTGAATAAGTTAATTTGCAAGCATTTCAAGATACCATGAAGAAAAAGATGTAGTTAAAGGATGTTTAGGCAAAAACAGGAAATAAAATAAGTTGATAAAGAGGGTTAAGTTCAAAAGTGATTATTTATGCTCACTAAGATAGGTCAACACTTCAAGCAAAGATGATAGGATAAAGCATCTAAGGTAAAACTTTATCTTCTTACAATATAATTAGTTTTTTTATACAGGATGATGAGGAGCAATAGCAGAGGCCAAAAGAAGGCCAGGACGAAGTATTTGCAAAGCAAAAGGAGTTTGATGATCAAACTAATATGGACTAGGAAGCAATGAATACAAAAAAGATCAAATATTAATCCAAGTAAGTACTTTTCTAAAGTAGTTGATTTTTATATAATTTTGATTTTTGGTAGACAATGCCTTTAAAGGAAATCAATGGGTAATATTCTTAGAAGAATCCTTGACACAGGTCAAAGAAAACTTTATAGTTATTAAAGAAGTCTAAGCAAAGTCCACAACCATAACAATAACCTCCGTGCAAGTTATATTGCAATACTAAACAATTTATTGAAAATTGAAATGCCACAGTTAGATGAAGTTACATATATTAAATTTCTCATGAGGTAATTACTAAGTACTTTTAAAACCATTGAGAATACTAAAACCCTAAACCCTAAACCCATGAATGTTAAATATATACGATTTCAATTTTAATAATAGAAATATACCTTGTTTAAGAGTATATTATATTTTATGAAGCCATTAATCAATAGGAATCATTCCCTCTCCCCTTTTAACCCAATTGGGAAAAAAGTAATTATTTGATGAAAGACCTTTTAATCATTATTTTATCCCTTAATGTTTTAAGGATCTATGGTGACCAGTGAGTATATGGAGATTTTTTAAACTATTATTGTAGAATTGATAGTATATTCAAATTTCATCTATAATCATGTGCATTACATTAGTTACATCACCCTAGAACTTCTCTTTATCAATGTCTTACATGCAAGGTGGATGAGAATCCATGCTAGCTCTCCAGCTCCTTGAATTTCATCAATCAAGAATCAGGAAGTTTGACCTCATAAATCAATTCTTCCACCTAGCATGCCTGTACGTCATTGATCTCTAATGGTGGTAGCTCCTGAAACACAGCTCCTACAAAGATGAGTGGAAGAGATGCAAGCACGCTTTAAAATTCTATAATGCCCATATGAAGCAGATGAAGCAACACCAGCAGTGATTTTCAGTCGTTTCAGATTGATTATACGCTATGGCCTGCAGGTGGAATGAAAAATCTCAAACAAAACATCCACACATGGGTTTTTGTGTTCCTTCGGGCACATAATATACCAACATGATATAGAATATATGCGGCTTGGAACTCGCAGTTGGGAGCTTACAGCAAACACTCTCGCCCCACTCATCGGAAATGAATAGCAGTTTCCTTCAGTTCTTTCTCCAAAATCTTGCAAATTACAGTGCTCAATAGTTCGCTGCGAATGGCAGCAGCTGGTGCAGGCAGTGATGACCAAGCATGAGAGGAGCCATGCAAGCACAAGCTTTCGAGTAGGAGCCATAATTTCTAGAGAGCCAAGAGAAAAGAGGAGCAAATAGATTGAGCAAACAAAGGGGGCAACCTCCCATAGATAAAGCTCCAACGGCAGCGTAACGTTAACACCTTAACGTGGATAACCATGGTTTCACCACCATCGTCGGAATGATTTACACAGGTTCTCAATAGATATCATCAACATTGGAGCTAAAGAGTACACCAGCAAAAACTCCCGGCTTATCGCGCCAACAGTTGCCATTGAAGGCCAAAGCATTGCTGCTCACGACAATAGAATCGCCCTAGACTCGCATGCATTACAGCTGTTGAACCCTCGTCTTCCCTCCCGGGCCAGTCACCTGGCTGCCAAAACGTCCATAACATTTAACCAACAGTTAAATATTTATAATCTAACTTCGTTTGAACTATATAGGGTTTCGTAGTTTTAGGAAATGTATTCAAAGTCGTGCTCCATTTTTATAGTCACTAACTATTAAATGGAATTTAAGCTTCAATTGCGTCCTTTTTGGTGTCGAAGGGAGCCATAGCACTTTAGAAATCCTTCTGCAGTGCTTGCGTGGGTCAGCCGTAATACGTCCTTCATTCAATGGCTCGTCTTTAGGTGATTATTTAGAAAGTCTGGTGCAGGTACTTATATTGAAGTTTCTATTTTCAGGTCGGTTCTTTGCATGAAAAACTATATTTTCTGTCAACGTTTTGGAGCTTATGTTTTTGCTTCCTATGCACTTCACTTGTAACAAAAACATAAATACTTTTGTGTCGAAGAAACTGTTCTAAGCAGACGAAAAACGCATACAAGAAAAAGTAAGACGAGGCTTCGCCAGCTCACGAAAGTTTCTGTCAGCTTCGTCAGAGAATCCGGGGGAAGGTTTAAATAATGTTGAGAAAATGCAGGGAATAGCGGCAATTGCCGGCTACATTGTGATGGAAAACGTCTCCGTAAACCACAGCCGCGGAATCTCGCTCCCGAGGCAAAACCAAACTGGACATTGCTCTGGTGCACTACGAGCTTTGACTGAGTTGCCTTTTCTTAGCATGCTTTCTCATGGAGGGTGAAGAAACTTCCGTTTGATAGGCACTATTTTCTCAGCCTGGACGCGCTACAAGTGGGAATACCATGGCCGTGAAACTGTTTATCGAACAAGATGGGTTTATACCTTTTTTTTAACACTTAAGTTCGTCCTTAAGGCAGAAGAGAGCTACCTGCAATTATCAATATAGAAGTTGTTATCTCTGAGCAGAGCTCCCATGCTAGCTTGTTCCCACTAGAGGAAGGGAACTTTCTGTATAGCTGGAGCTTACTTTGTTTATGGGAAGGGTGTGCACACAATGTTTGCACTATAGCCTCATGTCAGATGCGTGCGTTCTGCCTGTACTGGCGAACGAATTTGCGCAAGCCGCTGTCCTCCAGATCCAAGCTTTGTGAAGATATCAAGTTTTGCAAGCTGCTATGTCGGACAGAACGAGGCTGCACAAACTGTGTCAAATATTATTCTTAAAGATACAGCTGTAAACACTAAAAGTTCAGTCATAAATAAGCCTGGAATATATTGAAATTAATGAGGTTGAAGCCGTAAGAGATTTCTTTTTTATTTTGATAAAACATATAAAATGATCAAATTATAATAATTTTTCTGCGCGTTGGACCTTGGTTTGTTTGTTTATTTAAATATTATCTGCATGTAAATAATTTTAAAAATATTAATTATGCTCGTTGACTTCTTCTTACATCTTTACGAAAAGAACATGTTAGATATTTCACAATGCTCCTTCATGGGGCCTTCTACATTGTTAGCGACATTGAGTATCAGATCAACCGATCATTTGGGTAACCCGAAATTTCAATCCAATGTCAAGCTGGAATATACCTTTCAGTTTTGAATTTAAAATGAGATGGAGCCTGAGTGTTTGCCTAGGTCGTACTCTGTGTTCTCTCTTCTCTGTTCTATTCTGGGGCCTTCGAAGCTACACATGGCTGGATTCAGGAACTGCAGCCTCAAGCTCAGCGTGGTTCTCTTAGTGCTTATGGTCCTGCTCACATGGCCAATTGCAGATGGTGCTCATGCTCCTGCCCCAGGTCCCCAAATTCACCATGCTCACGCTCCAGGGCCCATGAGCGCAGGACTTGCAGAATGCGCCCCCTCTTGGATCAGTATTGCTGTGGTTCTGATGGGTTTTGCGGTTATGCGAATTGCCTGAATGAGAAGCCTGTAAAGCTCTGTGTGTTCTGTAACGATTGATACTGCTATTGTGTGCATTTGCCAATAAATAGATCGAGCCGAGCGCTCTTCTTTCAGTTGTAAATCTCAGTCTTGTTAGTCAATGCATGCAAGGCACATGGTGAAAAGATGAGCGTTCCTTGTGTTGAAGTTGATGACTAAGTCTTAGCAGGATATTCGCTCACCTTCATAAAGTTGAGCGAATATCGCTCACCTTCACAAGGTTGCTCTCAGGAATCTGGTTGAAGAATCGTTGCAACTCTGTGCGAGTCTTCTAGATGAGTGGCTTTGACCTACTTGTGATCTACTAGAGGGACACTTTGCATCCTAGTGCCTATGCGGAGGACCAAAAACAAAACTATAGTGACATTATGTCTAAACCTGCTCTAAACTTCCAGTGGGAAATTTGGAAAAAAGGTTGACTGGTCCTTATAAAAGTCCTTCTAGGGCTTTTCACTTTTAACGAATGAAGCGGGTTGTCAAACTCATAGCCCTCGGGGAGGCACTAGACTTTCTCACTCTCCAGGTTGATGAAGATATGGTGGCTGGCTTCGAGGCTGTGCATGTAGGTGTGGGTGTTTGGTCCTCTCCCCTGGAAGTATTTGCCACAAACCAGGCATCGCTTGGACAGGGAGACTGAGCAACACCTCTCGAAATCAAAATCCAGTGCCTGCCGCTTGACCGTGTCGAGATATGGGCAATCCTTTCGACATTGGATGACATTCGACGTGTTCTAAACCCTAAGTTCAAAAGTTGGCAGCTCTCGCAAATCGATAACAGCAACTTGTGGAATAACAGTTGCTATCTCGTGGAGTAAAACTTTGGATGGTTCTTTGTTTCAACAAAAAATAGTTAGTCTAAACAATATCAATAACACTAGTTATGTCAATATCGTTATTTAGTTACTTACAAAGGTAGCACCACTCCGAGATTTCTTCTTGGTCCAAGAGAATTACACAAGCTTTATTACATCCTGGCTTATCCACACATTTGGCGAGTTGATGAGGAGGATCTGGAACACAAGGAGCTTCCAAGTGTCACGTAAGTCCCCACGAGTTCATACAAGCAGTAGCAGTGTCTAGCAAGAACCGGTTTGGCATTGGGAAGCCCTCGGATCCTGTGCAGTTTTGCTTCTGGCTCCTGGACGCCCTCCACAGAGATCTCGGCGGCACCGAGATCCCCAACAGCAGCATCGTCTTCCAGTGCTTCCAAGGCGAGCTCGAAGAGACCACCGTGATCCCGGCCAGAGCTCACAAGCCGGAGGTTCGTCACATACCATTTCTACGCCTCAGACTCGACTTGCCACCGCCACCGCTGTTCAAGGATCCAATACAGGGGAAAATCATCCCGCGAGTCCCACTCGCGACGCTCTTGAGAAAGTTTGATGGAGAGACCGTGACTGATTGTCTGAGGCCACAGCCAGCACAGAAGCGCTACCGGGTGACAAGGCTACCAAGGTACCTCTTGCTCCATATGGGACGTTTCGCCACCAAGAAGTTCGAATATTGCAAGAGGATCTTCGCCGAGAAGAACCCCACCCTCGTCAACTTTCCAGTGAAGAACTTGGAGCTGAGAGACCACATCCCACTGCCTGATCGTCACAGTGGATCGAAGTATGACCTGGTTGCCACCGTTGTCCACGATGGCACAGCCATGTCCGGTTCGTATCGAGCTCTTGTCCACAGCAAATGCGAGGGTGCGTGGTACCAGATCCAAGACCTGTGTGTGGAAAGTATACTGCCGCAACTAGTTGCGTTGTCCGAGCCTTACATGCAGATCTACGAGCAGCAACCAGTCCCAAGTTAGGTGATGTTGTAAACTGTCTCAAACCTTGATAACATTTTTGTACTGCTTCTTGTGTACCGATGAATGAGCTGTGTTGATCCAGCCCAAGGCAGCTTCACATATCCCAAAACTTTGAGCTCTCTGATCCGGCAGCTTGGTCCGTGGATTCCGTGCAGTTCGAAAAATCTCTGTATGAGAGGAGCCGCGTGGTGCTTGATGAGGTTGCGATTGCAAGTCTGGGACCTTGACTTGCTAGAGCGGTCGTGCAAGACCCCTGGTCGAAGCTTGATACCAGAGTCCCATGGTTAGAATCCCAGACGTTTACCACAGTGTCGTCGGGGCCTGCAGTGACAACTTTAACGTCGTCAAGGTGAAGGAAGTGCACGGGGCTGTCGTGGCCGCAGAGTTCTGCGAGAGCCTGATGGTTGCTTCTAGTGTCCCATAGCTTGCAAGTCCTTGAAAAGAAAAATCAAACTTCTGAATTAATTTCGGTTGATTGATACCTGTCGTTGCCTCCAGTGCACAGAAGCTTTCCAGAAGAAGATAGCGCAGTAGCACAGATTCCACCGGGGTGATCAATCGTCGCAACAGTTTTCATCGTTCTTAGATCAAGCGCTGCAACGGTAGAGCCTCCTGAAGCGTAGCAAATGGACTGGAACGACTTGAGACTCGTCAAGGAAGCGGGACCTTTGGCAGCTCCAACGCAAGTTGCCGTATTTGTGTCCCATACTCGCAGCTGCGACGCAAATTTAGCCATGAAAGAGCACATATTTTTGCTCACCTTTGAGTCTTTGGCTCCACTAACCATGATACAAGGATTGTGCCTGGAAAAGCAAAAGACAAAAAGAATCGTGAAACGATTGTTAAGTATCAACATTCTTACCCAGCTACTGCCAAGTCTTTAATATATGATTCGTGACCATATAACGTTGTTAGTAATGGTGTTCGGCCGCCATTGAAATTCCATAGTTTCACAGTGCTGTCCATGCCACCGGAAGCAATTACCGTTGCTTGTCCAAGAAGCCTGTCTGCAATAACGCTGACCCCATCAGAGTGACCTCTAAGAGTTCTCAAGCTTCGACCCTGTGTGTTTGAAGTGATACAAGGAAAGAGAATCGAGGAAAAAAAAAGATACCTTTCCCCATATACGAATGGTACGATCAGCACTGCATGTAGCTAAAATGTTGTCTCCAATGAAGTAATTGCGAAGTCCACCTACAGGAAATAATCTGAGCCATGACAAAGAATTAAAACTAGAAAGGAAAAACAATGTGACGATCAACTACACACCTCATGCAGTTAATTCTGGCACTATGATCATTGAGAACTTTCAACCCAGATGAACTGAGCATTACAACTAGAACTTCCGAGCCCTGAGGAGAAAAATGGAAACCAAAGGTTTTAAAGACTTAAGTGCAAAGTTGCGCCTTACTCGAGCTGCTACAATGGCATCTTCGTGGATCAAAATCTGCTTGACCATCGTCGGTAGCGAAAGTTGCCACTCGAAAGGATCCCTGAATCGAAACTGCTGACACGCAATGAGCCTGCCGAGGTAATCATCTCTTCCACCGACAAACTCAAACAATCCGGAAGTAGTTTGCTTGGCCGGCCAGCGGATTCTAGATGGAAGAAAGCTAGGATAAGCTAGAATTCGTCTAAGATAAGCTAGAATTCGCTGCTTACCGGCATTGGCGTTCCCAAAGGGGATCGGCGTAGGCGATTTGTCGAAGGCGCTTGCATGACATCGCCAAATGTGAGAGATCTCTGAGATCGAGCGACCCCGCGCAGAGCAATAGAGCGTCCGAAGGAAGATCCAAAAGCTCAGTGGGAGAGGACTCCATTGAAGGGCAAAACCTAATCAGACAAAGTGTGATAAGGGTTTCTAGATATTACCCAATGTGTGCGCGACGCGTGGCTTTGGCGGGCAAAGGTTGGCGCGTAACTGCTAATTGAAAAAAAGAAATCAGGGTTTCCGTTAAAGATTTTAGCTGGAGCTGAGAGCTAGGGCTCGTCCAACGCTGCCGCGGCGATGGCCAGGCGCTTGAGCGCCGGGGTGTTTGAGGCCGCCTCCAAGGCCGTGTCCAAGCTCACAGAGCGGTAAGATTTCCATTCCCAGAGAATGTAGCTTAGCGATTTGGTGTTCTTGGAGGCAGTGCACCAGATCCGGAGGAAGATCCGGATTTCCTAGCTCGAAATCCCCGATGGGAAGATCAACTCCCTCCCATTCATGGTGTCGGGAAGCCACAGGATGACAAAGCGCAATCTACTGCCGCCTTGCTAGCTGCGCTCGAGAATCTTCCACGCGCTCCCGAGTCCTTGCCGAGGAAGAATTGGAAGAAGGCTTACAAGGCAGTCAAGCGCATACTGGTTTGTATCAGCTCAACTTTTTTTTTCTTTTATCCATTCTTATTATTTCTTTGTTTCAGCTCATAAGAAGGAAGGCGAGAAGGAGTGCTGTAGGCACTGGAGCTCGGATGGAGGGTCATGCTCTAGGGTTTTGGAGTCCTTACAGCTCTGTTCGCCTCAATCTCTTCATGTTTCTTCACTGCCAGTACGTTACTGCTCGCGTTTTCTTGTTGGTGGTTGCTTACACTGTTTGCAGAAAAGCGGAATACTTCCTCTGCTTTATCATATTTTCACATATCATAGTGCTGATTTTCCAAGTAAAGGTCGGGCACAGAGGTGAAAGGTGGACGGAAGTACGAGACTTCAACCTCGATTTTCTGGACGGGTTTATTACCGCACTTTACACGTACGTCTAAGCGACTAAAGTCTTAGCCTTATTGTGTGATTTCCTACAGGTTGGAGATGGTTTTGAAGATTTGCTGTCTGGGGCTTTACCAGAAAAGCCACTGCTACCTTCGGAATCCGTATAACAGGCTTGATTTTGCCGTCGTTGTCGACTCCTGGTACTTGCACCTTCTCTTCCTTTTCCTTTCCACAAGCATGCTTTAGTATTATCCGAGTTACAGGATTCATATCATTGTTAGAGGCATAACTGGAAAGGACTTCTTTGCACGAGTTGCAGTTTTCCGTGCATTTCGAGGCCTGCTCGCATTGAAGCATATCACCTTTTTCGCGGATGTCATTGTATGCTGCCGTTTTGTGTACATGTCAGCTTCATCGATGATGTAATAGCTAGCAATTGTGTTTTTTTCTTGTTCTTTACAGTCTATCATGGCAGCCGTTAAGAGGAGTGTTGGCCCGCTTCAAAATGTCATACTGCTGACATTCTTTATGCTGGTCTTTTACGCGCTACTTGGGACTCAGTTTTTGCAAAAAACTATGTCTCAAAGGTATAAGAGTTTTGATGAAGTCCATTTCGCGAAAGCTGTCTTGTAGGTGCTTGCGGACAACCGATTTACGTCTATCATATCCAGAACGCTTCTGTGACAAGAAGGTCATTGATGGATACATCTGCCCTTCTAATCAGAAGTGTAAGGTGAGGTTTGCAATGCTCCCAAGCTGTCACTTATAACGTTGTCTTTACAGGTATATGGAAATCCTAACTTTGGATGTACAAGTTTTGATTACCTCTGGTGGTCTCTACTTACTATGTTTCAGGTTTGTTTCTATTTATGGAGAAAGGAATTATCAGTTGGTATTCCAAAGTAAATGATTTACTTACAGTAAACATTTTCAGATCGTATCCTTGGAGGGATGGAGCCTCATTATGTACCGCGTGAAGGATGCCGAAGGAGAACGAGCTAGTAATGTCTTCGACTTGCTGGGTTTAGCTATGCTAATACTTGCAATGCAGATTCATATTTTATGACCTTAGTAGTCATTGGCACGTATTTTCTTTGCAACGTGTTCATTGCGGGAATAAGTGGCGTTTTCCTTCGGGTCAGGGCAGAACATCAGGCATGGTTCTTTTGTATTGTTTATGTCTTTCTAATTCGTCTTCGTATAGGCGCTTTTGAAAAAATCTCGTAAAAACCAGACTTCCTTTTACAATGCAACGGTGATGGCTGATATACTCAAGGACGATATTATAAAAGACGAAGCGAATATGAAGTGGCATTTACGTATTCTGAACAGATCCAAGAAAGTCAAAAGGAGTGTCTTCCGAGCTTTAAGTCGTACTCAGTCATCTATGAGAGATGCTTTTCATGCTACTTCGTTCCGTATGAGCCGGATAGGCTCAGAACGATATAACCGGTCGTTAAGTCGAAGCGTAACGATGGGAGTTAGAGCAGCCGCATCTATCTCTGAACAATCTCGTGCCATCGTACAACACCCAAGTTTTGACTGGGGGGTGCTGTTGGCTGTTACAGTTAACGCGGTTGTTTTATGTTTGTACAGGTATGGCATGTCGAAGGATCTCTTCTATACAGTCTGTATCCACATTGCTGTTTGGTTCTTGCTTTTCACTTTGCTGGCCCTTAACTTGACAACTTTAGATGGCATTCAAGCTGTGCTTCTTGTCACTTTTGCCGCCGAGTTGCTACTGCGATTTCTTGCTTACGGCCCGCCCACATTTTACGAGGACAGTACGTGAAGCTCACATTCTCCGTGCCTCAGAGTTTGATCTTGATTGTGGTTGCAGAGATGAACATGGTAGATCTGGTTGTTGTAGCGGTCTCTGCTGGAGCTCTGGTTTCACGAGCGTATCCAAATATCAGCGCGTTTCGAATTATGCGATGGTTCTACCTGTCAAAGAAATACGTTGACAAGCATCCTTCAGTTGTGGTGAGTTTTCTGACCTGCGGTGTGCATTTGACTGTTTTTTGTGACGTTCTAGGCCACTTGCATAAGTGCTGTTGGCTCACTGGTTGGCGTATTCTTTTTCTATGTGCTTGTTATAGTTATAATGTCTATCATAAGCATGGAACTGTTTAGTGGTCAGTATTATACGTTTGCGGATGGCTATCCTCGTGCACACCACGATTCTATGCTCCAGACTATGCTTCTGTGGTTCTCGGTAACTACCGCTGAAGGCTGGCCGAATCAAATGTGGAACTCCATGCGACCCGGGGTGCTATATAAGTACGTTGCGTTGATCCCTTGTAGTCAAATTCTTATGAGTGTTGTTTATGTGCAGCGGAGTGGCGCCCTTTCTTTACGTTTTTTACTTCGTTTTAACAGTCCATATTATTATGAACCTCATCATTGCTGTTCTACTGGAGAAAAACGAGCTTACAGACAACCAGAAGAAGCAAATACAAAGGGTACGTCGGCTTAAGCTCTTGACAAAGACGTATTCTATGACATTTTCCTGCAGACAGAGCACATGAGGTTGATCAGGCGCATGCAAAGCAGAGTTTTCACGAGAAGTGGAAGCTGGGTTGTTGGTGCGGTCGAAGGAATGAAAACAGGTCTTGGAAATCTTGCGTATCGAGTTCTAAGCATGAACGTTAGACCTGTGAAAACGCAAAGCAAGAAGCAAAAACATCGTTCTCGACGCAAGGACCGGGACTCTGGCAAAGGACAGGATAATCTGGAGGCAGTGTCTACTGCAGCTGCAGAGCAAACCAGTGCCAGCTCGACTGAGCCGCAAAGACGACGCAGCCGGAATTCTCAGATTTTGCAAGCTTCTGGATTTCCCCCTAACATCGGAGAGAAGCGAGGGTCGAGAACTGCACTTGAGGATGCTGTGTTAACTCTTGCCGACATCACTAAGCCTCCGTCCTTCAAATCTCCCAGCTTGCTTCTTAGCAGAGACATGAGCAGAAAAGGCTCGGGCAAAAGGCAGTCGTTCCAGTTATCGGACTATGAACAGCTTGAAAAGAACATCGACAGCATCGAAAGGCCATGGTACCTGCACGAAGGCTCTCTTCTCTTGTTCGGAGAGAAGAGTCACCTGAGAAAGCATTGCAAAGCTATCGTCGAGAGCAAGTGGTGGGAATGGTTTTCTATAGCTTGGGTTGGCATAGGTACGTGGATTGTCATCGAGATGCGGGCAACTGGGGAGCCGGTATTTGCACCCACTGCTATCAACGTGCTGCACAAGCTTGTGTTTGTGGTAAGAGTCAAGCTATATGTCTTCATTGCTTATGACTCGAGTTGCAGGTTTTCATGCTGGAACTGCTGCTCAAGGTTATAGCCAACGGTTTTATGTTCTCGCCGGATGCCGTTCTAAACGACCCCTACAACATCCTCGATATTTTCATTGTTATCATCGACGCGGTCAACCTTGCCACCTGGGGTGAGAAATCCAGAAGAGCTGTTCATGCCTTGACGGCATTGCGGCCATTCCGCTTCATCAGTAGGATCAGTGGACTGCGCTCCTTAATGTCCAACCTGGTCAAGACGCTTCCTGCCATCATAGCTGTGCTGCTATTCACATTTATGCTCTTCGTGACTTTCGGCTCCATCGGGATCCAGCTCTTTCGAGGTCGTCTCTACTTTTGCAACGACAGCAAAATATCTCATCGAGCCTATTGCACCGGGCACTACTACAACAATGTTGGCGTTTACTCTCCGCGGGCCTGGGTAAATCCGAACTTCCACTTTGACGACATTGGTAATGCTTTTCTCTCTTTATTCGTCTGCTCTACCTTCGACAATTGGGTAACGAATTGGCTGTATCCAGTAATGGATATTGTTGGTGAAAACAAGCAGCCGCAACGGGACAACAGCCCGGCTTATGCCTTGTACTTCGTGGCGTTCTGCGTTTGCGGAGGATTTTTTATCATCAGGGTGTTCATCGGAGTTTTTATAAACGAGTTTGGAAAGAATTCTGGGTCGCTGCTCTTGACGGAGAGGCAGAAGCTATGGCGGGACATGAACCGTATTATTCAGAAGCTAAAACCAGGGGCACTGCCACGACCACCGAAGAACTATATCAGAAAGCTGTGCTTCTATGCGATCCGGAACCGGCATTACCAGAACACTATGATTGTTTGCCTCCTTGGTTACTCTGGACTCTTGGCTACGAACTATGCCGGCCAACCAGCGTATGTATCCAATCGCCGCCAGAAAGCTCATTGCGCGCTCACTGCGTACTTTTTGGTCGAGTCATTGACCAAGTTTCTCGGCGACGAGGTATAAAGCTGCGTGTTTTGTTTTTCTTTCTCATGAAACGTTGTTTTATTGCTGGTTTTGCAGTTTAGAGTTTACAGATACGAGTATTCAAGACACATAGAGGCTGTGATTTCCATCTTAGCAGGGGCGGGATTGATGGGATTGAAGGGAACACCCAGGGGTTATGTTGGCCGGTTTGCTTACATTGCTCGAGTGTTTTGCATCATTCCTCACGTACCAAGAGCTCGGGTCATTATGAGAGTGATGTTCATATGCTGCCCGACTATAGGAGAGATCATGGCTCTTCTGGGGATTTTCCTCTTCTTGTTCGCTGGAATCGGTTTCCAGATGTTCAGCCAAGTTGCGGATGGAGCTTGTATTGGTCCCCTGGTTAACTTCAAAACCTTTGTGAATTCTTTCATTACCGTGTTTCAAGTAAGTTCGTTTGCATTTTAGTTCTGCTCGTGATTAGCTAATGCTTGTTTCACAGGTAACGACGCTTGACAACTGGTCGTGCATTATGGCCGACGCGATGCTGGGTACTCCAAAATGTACCGATGGCAACACCATGCTGAAGAACGACTGTGGTTATCCTTTTGCGGGAGTGATATACTTCGTTTGCTTGATCGTGGTGGCAAGCCACATCTTCATGAACCTGTTTGTAGCCGTGATTCTCGATGCCATCACTTTTGGATTGGTGAACGAGAATTCAATGGTGACGCCGGAGCACCTTCTCGCGTTTAAGTCTCTATGGGCTGAATTGCCTTTCGATCCCGAGTAAGCATTTTACTTCGTTGATCAGGCTTCTCACTTTACTTTGAGCAGAGCCACGGGTTATATTGGCATGCACAAGCTACGGCGTTTCGTAAACTCTCTAGGAATTCCTCTGGGACGTCGCTACAATGCCACCGTTCAATGGTGATCTAAACTCTCATCTCAAGCTTCTCACTCTCCTACTCCCATTTCAGGTACCTGAGGATCGAGTTCGAGGTCATGAGCTTCCGGGTTCCAGACAAAGGGATTCCTTTCAAGCAGCTGCTAGAAACTTTGACGCTTTACAAGATCGGACCCACAGTTAAGCCTTTTCGTTTCATGGTTCTCGTGGCTTGAGTGTTTCTCAACAATGCACAGGGTCTACCGCTCACTTTACGCATCGAAAGAGAGAAGCGCATCCAAGACGTGTATATCCGCGGCGCGACCACGAAAGTCCAGGCACTTGTGCGGGGATTTCTAGTAAGGAGGCGAGCTGCCCGGGCTAGAGGAGAAGAATTTGAGGGAGGATTTCCGTTGCTCAGAGACGATCAAAGCGGTGGAAACGAAGAACCGCAACAAGATGAACAGCAAGAACAGCAACTAAGAAGCAAATCCATGCTCGTGGAAGAAGAAGGAAGTTAGCTTAAATCCGGGAAGTTAACATATGGCGTTTAGCTTATATTTCCTTTAATACGAAATAAAAGCCCTAAAAACAGAGGAATGATGGCTAGGGCATGAGCATTCGGGCATGGCGGGCGAAATCCTTGCAGCACGGTAGCGCCGCATCGCTGGGAGAGGCCGCATTGCTGGAAATCCAGCGCCTCGCAGCGATTCATCGGGAGGGTAGGCAGCAGCAGGATCGAAATCTTCATGGCGAGCAGGAGATCAAAGATCATGCGAACCGCATCCGGCAGTGCGGGCGCGCCGGAGATCTGGCCGAGGCCGAGCGGGTTCACGCCGCGGTGCTGCGATCCGGGCTCGGCGGCGATCGCTTCCTCTCCAATCTCTTGGTGGAGATGTACGGCAGGTGCGGCGGCGTGGAGGGCTCCCGTACGGCGTTCGATGCCATTGAGTCCCCAAACGTCTACTCGTGGACGCTGCTCATCGCGGCATATGCCCGCAATGGGCATCACAGGGAAGCCATGGAGGCGCTGAGGAGAATGGATCTGGATGGAGTAGAGGCCGATGCTTTCACTTACTCCACCATTTTCAACATGATCTCGCGCAAGGAGATGCTGCCCCAGGCAAGGTGGCTCCACGAGAGAGTCTCGACGTCTTTGGAGCTTGGGTTGAACAGAGATATCTTCCTGGGAACTGCCATCGTCAACATGTATGGGAAATGTGGCAGCATACACGACGCCGAAGAGATGTTCTTTCGGATGGAGCACAGGGACGTGGTGGCCTGGAACGCGATGCTCTCGGCCTATGCTCACAACGGGTACGAGCTCGAGGCCGCCAAACTGTTCCAGGAGATGGAACACGAGGGAGTCAAGGCGGACAGGGTGGTTTTTGTGAGCCTTCTCGAGGCTTGCTCTAAGCTGGGGGACTTGGAGCAAGGGAAGGTGGTGCACGGGCGCGTGACCGAGCTCGGGTTTGAGGCCGAGGACGTTCTCGGGCACGCGCTGGTGAACTTATACGGGAAGTGTGGAGCGCTGGAGGAAGCAAGGTCGCTTTTTGGTAAGATTGTTTCTAAGAATGTGGTGTCGTGGAACGTCTTGATAACGGCCTATCTGCAGAACGGGCTCGTGGAGGATGCACTCAAGCTCTTCACAGAGATGGCGCTGGATGGGACCAGACCCGACGACGTGACCTTCAACAATCTCGTCAACTTGTGCACGGGGGTGGTGAGCTTAGAACAAGCCAGGATTCTCCACCGGCGATTGATCGAGAGTGAGATCCACGTAGACGCTGTAATGAGGAACGCCGTCATGAATCTCTACGTGAAAGCTGGGAGTTTGGAAGATGCCATGGCCGAGTTCTATCGCATGGAAGTCAGGGACGTGGTTTCGTGGACGCTCATGCTTTCGACATACTCGCAGTCTGGATACGTAGACGAAGCATTCAAGCTGTTTCATCAGATGGACCTTGAAGGCATTGAGGCCGATGCCGTCACCTACATTGCAGTTCTCGACGCCTGTGATTGCTCCGAGCTCCTGGAGCAAGGCCGGAGAGTGCACGCTCGAGCAGCTCAGTCAGCTTTTCATGAAGATGTTGCTGTCAGCACTTCGCTCGTCAACATGTATGGGAAGTGTGGAAGCTTAGTCGAAGCCAAGACATTGTTCGACGGGATGAGCTTTAGGAACGAGTTATCATGGAACGCAATGGTGAGGGTTCTCGGGTTTAACGGGCAGAGCAACGAGGCTTTTCGAGTCTATCAGGTGATGCAGCTAGAAGGGGTTAAGCCAGACTCGACTACGTTACTCATCCTCCTCGACGCTTGCAAAGATTTGTCACAGGGGCGGATGGTCCACTCCAAGATCATCGAATGTGGATTCGATCGGGACAAAGGTGTCCCGCACACGCTTGTGATCATGTACGGGAAGCATGGAGATCTAGAAGAAGCCAACCAAGTGTTTCGGAAAAGTGTCCCGGATTGCGGGAAGGATCTAGCCAGCTTATGGAACGCTTTCATCGTAGCTCACACACACAACGGCCAGACCGAACAAGCAGCTCAGCTTCTTCACAGTATGGACCTCCAGGGCGTAAGACTCAACAAGTTCAGCTACGTTGCTCTGCTCGACGCGTGCTCGACGTTACAACAGGTGGAGCAGCTCCACTTACGACTGCTTGCGGAAGGATTGGAGGCAGATCAAGAGATTGGCAACACACTCATCACCTCGTATGGCCAGTGTGGTAACATAGACGCTTCAAGAGCCGTCTTCACGGGAATGGAGTGCAAGAACGTGATTTCGTGGACTTCTTCCATTGTAGCTCACGCAACCAACGGGCAGGCTAGCCAGGCGATGGAGCTGCTTCATCAAATGCATCTAGAAGGCGTTCATCCAAACAAAGTCACTTTGCTGGGCTTGATCGATGCGTGCGTGAGCCTGGCAGCAGCAGTGGACAAAGACGAGAGAAGTATCGTCATACCGGAGTATGTTCTATCTGTGGCCAGCAGATTCGAGTCGACTATCGTGCTAGAGACTGCGCTGCTCAACATGCACGCCAAGTGTGGCAACGTAGAGGAAGCCGAGAGGATTTTTTTTGAGAAGATGGCCGATGGGGAAAGGGACTCTATCGCATGGAATGCCATGGTTTCTGCCTATGCTACCAACGGACACGGCCTGGAGACGATTGAACTAGTGCGAAGGATGGACTTGGAAGGGATAAAGCTGCACAGAGTCACCTTTCTGGGCCTGCTGGACGCCATTGCTGGAGTGGGAGACATCACGATGGTGAAGCAGACACACGCAAGGCTGACCGAGGCAGGAGTTCTTCCCAGCCTCGCACTAGAGAACAGTCTCATAGCTGCTTATGGACGTTGCGGGAGTGTGGAGGATGCAAAGTCCGTTTTCAAGGGTATCTCGTGCAACAAGGATTCCGTCTCCTGGAGCGCTCTCATCGTGGCTCTCTCCCAAAACTGGCAGGCTTCTCCGGCACTAGAGCTCCTCAAGAGCATGGACTTCGAAGGGGTCAAGGCAGGAAAGGTGGCCCTGCTGAGAATGGTGGAGTCGTGTGCGCTGCTGGGAGCTCTTGCTCACGGCAAATCTCTCCACACTCGCATCCTCCGCTCGGGCTTCCAGGCGGAAGAGGTCCTCGCCAACGCACTCATCGCCATGTACGGGAAGTGCGGCTGCCTGGAGACCGCCAGGAAGCTCTTCGAAGACGAGCTTCAGACGCCTGATCCGGGTGGTAGAACCAGGAAGAACAACGTAGTAACTTGGACGACGATGGTCACCATCTACACGTCCGCTGGCCACCCCAGTGAAGCGCTGGAGCTCTTCTACGGCATGGTGTTGCAAGGCGTCCTTCCCACCTCGGTAACGCTCACCAGCATTCTCAGCGGCTGCAGCCACGCCGGCCTCGTCGGCCAGGGGATGCACTACTTTGCGTGCATGGTGGAAGATCACGGCGTCACTCCCACGGCGGATCACATGAACTGCCTTGTGGACTTGCTGGGACGAGCAGGCTGGCTCCGGGAGGCCGAGGATTTGATCAGGAAGATGCCGGCGGGAGACCCTCTAACTTGGAAGGTCCTCCTGGGAGCTTGTAGGCTCCATGGAGACTTGGAGAGAGGCACAAACGCAGCGCGGAAGGCATCAAACTTCTTTGACCACTGCGATTCGTCGCCTTACGTGTTGCTGAGCAACATGTACCTGGAGAAGGATCCACAAAGCTTGACAAACTGCGAATCGTCCGGACTAGTTCCAACTTCATGATCGATCACACAGGTACTCGTTTTAACTTCGTGAACGAAGGTACTTATATTGGTACCTCTGTGATTAACGGTTTTTCCAAGCTTGACAAACAGCTCCGTGTTCTTGGTATGTTTCAAATTTGTGTTCTATTATTTCTGATATAGATTTTAATTTATGTACCCAGCACAGCAGCTATGAGCAGCGTCAAGGATCGGCATGGCCAGCCATTTCCTCGTCGCTGGACGCGTAATCCTCATCAGTCACTTCCGCGTCGCTGCTCTCTTCGGGGTGAGCTGCCGTATCCTCTGACTTTGCATATCTTTCGCAGTACTCTGTCAAGACGCACGAAAAACTTTGGCCAGGCGAAACAAGAAGAGAGTACATCGCTCTTACCTTTAACTTTCTGGTCGTAGCGATCTCTGTCCCTCATCATCAACGCGGCCGCTTCACCGTTGAGTGGATCTGTGGGGTTGGGATAGAGTAGCAGCTGAGGTAGAAACACCTCAAACACGTTGATCAAATCTATACCAACGAACTTTCAGAGCTTGAAACTTTCGAGCAAATCATCTTTACCGAACATTGGGCTCCACGTTTGGTTGATCACGTCCAAGCACACGGAGCCGGACCTGGAAGCAAAGCATCGATAAGATGAGCTCCAAAGAAAGAACCGAAAGACCGAAAAAAAGAGAGAGAAAAGGAAAGAGAACGAAAAGAAATGGGAGATTTCAGGCAGGCATACATCTCGTCCACATTGGGGTGAAATATCCTGTTCACAAAACCGATGGATGGAGATTTATACGGGTAAGCCTCTGGAAGTTCGACACGAACCTTCCAAGTCCCCGTTTGATATGGACCTGTTGGAAACGAAACAGGATTAGAACCATGCCACAGCCCGGGGAGTTGAAAAAGAGATGCAGAAGCAACGAAATCCACTCTATCTACGTGATACGTGACACCACAAGGGAAGAAAAACAAAAGAAAAAAACTCCCGGCGAAGTGACAATGGCTTAGATTTTTACGTGTTTTAGCTTTGAGAGGTGGACACCTGGAGTTTTTGGAGCTCTTCTCGAGGACCCGCACCAAAAAGTGGTGGCATTCTTTTGTGTCCATGGCTATGAATCTGGAAGAGCGAACAAAAAATGGCAACTCAACTCGAGGGCAGTTCTCCTACAGATCCAATCCAAGGCAAAAACAAGAAGAAATCTCTCTTTCAAACAAGCCGAGAGACACAGAGGCACGAAAACCACAGGGAGACAAGAGGAAGAGAAGAGGGCAGTGTGGAGGACTTACTATCCCGAGGTCCATGGAACTCCACATTAAACTCGTTCATCCCATCGTTTACCATCTCCACCTTGTAGTCACTCATCATCCTGGAAAGAGGAATGGGAAGCAAAAAGAAGAAGCAATGAATTAGCAGAGAGGAAGAAAGCGAAGAAAGAGAGGTCCACTGGAGAGCGAAGAAGGAATTGAAATTCGAGAGGAGGCGAGACTCACAGTTTCATCACATCCATTTCGCGGCGCTTGCTCGGGGAAGACATTCTCGCCTGCGCTGCTGCTGCTGCTGCTGCTGCTGCCCTGCCCTGCCGCCCCGCCGCTCAGCGATGGAGAGCCGAGGAACCCACCAAGATCGAGGACACCCTAAATCTCATCTAGCGAGTGACAACATCCACGCCAAGGGAATGGGATAGCCGCTGTGCCAAAGCAAACAGTGACTGTCGCGACTGGAATTGGAACCCTAGAATGCTGGTGGACAGCCTAGCCCTAGGCCACCACGCTTGAGGCTTGGCAGCCGTCGGATGCCGATCTGCGCCCCTTCAGCGTGGCCCTTGATTCCGCCAGCTCGGCAGGAATATCCTTCGTTATGAATCTCAACGGTAAGTAACGGTTTCCCGCGGGAAAATATCCCCTGTTCTTGCGAGCTATGGCGGTCGACAAGGGCAAGAAGAAGGCGGCAGCTGGGACGAAGAAATCGTCGGCCGAGGGGAAGAAATCTACCCCGAAATCGTCGAAAAATGCGGCGGCCACGCAGAAGAGCAAAAAGGCCGCTACCTCCGCGAGCAAGACGAAGACCAAACTGAAGAAAGCGGTGGAGAGCAGCGAGGAGGAGACGAGCACTGCAACGGAGGAGCGTGTATCCGATCAAGGCAGCGCAGGCGACGAGCCAGCAGCTGGAACGAAGCCAGGATCTTCAGCTCCCGGCGGCGCTCTCGCAGTGCCTCCCCAATCCGGCCTCATGGGAGGACTGAGTGGAATTCGAGGCATCAGGCCGCAAGTGCCGATGATGATGGTCCCCCCAAGGCTGGGAGCGATGCAGCAGGGAATGATGATGCCGCAGCAGCAGCCTGGGATGATGATGGCGATGAGATTCCCGGGAATGACGATGATGAGCCGCTCGCCTCCGGTGATGATGAATCCATTCCAGCAGCAATTCAGTCGCGGAGGAGCCACCATGATGGGAATGGGATTGCAACAGCAGCCGCGCGGAATGCCAGGCTTCTCACAACAATTTCCTCAGCAGCAATCTTACAACATGGTCTCCCCGCAGGCTTTCTTCTCTTCTTCGTCGTCGCCATTCGAGGCACAAGCTTACTCTCCCTGGAACTATACAAATCCATCTTGGGCTTGGAAGCAACAGCCATCGTGGCCCAGCAATTCCAATTGGAACAATCAAACATCCTGGCCAGAGCAGCAATCCAATTCCTCGCAACCTTACGACCAACAACAACAGCAGCAATCTTGGTGGGATCAAGCTCCCCATCAAACCTCTTCGTGGAGCCAGCACTCCCAGCAGCCCCAGCAATCCTGGAGCCAACAGTACTACGATTCCTCGGCCCAATCATCTCCACCTTCTTACGACTACTACAACCAATACCACTCCGATCCACAGAACTACTACCAGCAGCAGCAGCAGCCGGAGGACTATTACAATGCTGCTAGCTACGATCAATCCACGAGCTACGATCATCAATACCACAATCCTTACGATCCCTCGACCTCGCAAGCTCCAGAGTATGGCTATGATCATCAGCGTTGGCCGAGCGAGTACTACGGCGGTCAGAGCCAAAGCTGGCCGCGACGAAGCGATCATCACCACCAAAACTGGAGCTACGGCCGTCACAAGAACCTATACTCCTGGCCGCAACGCTGGAACCCAAAGTGATAAAAATGTAGGTTTAAATTTCATGTTGGAAAATAGTTACAAATTACAAATAGATTCTAGTATAAGAGCTAGTTGTTTTACACATAGCAAAGGGAAATTGGTAGTTTTTTCAATGATTTTCTTGTGGTGTTTGCCATGTCATTGAGTTTGTTTGTGCCTTCTCACTAAGCAAATTCTTTAATTCAAGCTTTAACATGACTTTGGGGATAATGCTTATGTTGCTTGTTCAGATAGTATTGATCATACTGATGTTAAATAATTAATAATTTTAATTATTTTAATATTAATTTTATTTTAATCTTAGAACTTAATTTCTATTTTATTAGGTTTGGAATTTTTCGACAAAACATAATGGTAAATATTTTCAATTTTTAACATTTTTATTCGACTTGATTTTAATTCCAACCATCAAATTGCACCCAGCTTATTTTCATCCCCTGACCTCTACTTTGAGTATTTTTATATCCTCATTTTTGTAAACAACCTCGATAATACACTTTAGGTACTCTCTATTATTAATACTCAAGAATGAATTGTTTAGTTTTTTGTGAAATAACTTTAAAAATTTAAAATAGAAAATAGTTTATAAAATGCATTTGATAGTAATTAGTCCAACTATAATAATCCTTAATACCCAAATTATATAGCATTTGGAAGTAAAATATTAATAAAAAAATTTATAAAATAAAAGTTCATTAATAAAAATATTAATGGATGTTCTCTCATTTAATTCAAAATTTTACTTTATTTGTTAATATATATTGTTAATGTAACTTTTTCCAAAAAAAATATATTAAATTTACAACTATATCACTTACATTGTACTATATAATTGAAAAAGAGTATGCATTTATAATTTAATAATATGTATAATTATACAATTATATTGTTTAAACTTTCACAAACTTGAGAATAATTTTGAAAAATGTTCAATTTATTATGAAGATGTTTTATAAACTTATGGTGAATATTCATAACAATTTATATAATTATGTTTAATCTAATTTAAATTATTTATTTATTTATTATTGTTGATTTTTTATAAATAAGTTTTACTGATTTAAATAATATTTGTTAAATGGTAGTGCTGAAAATAAAATTAAATGGAATTTATTAAATTAATGCATTTAATAATATAGTGCTGGATTGAAATCGCAAATTTTTGATGAAAATCATAATTACAATCTTGAATTATCCCATGTTTTATCTTGTGTGAGGAGATATTTTTAGTGAGCATTAACTAATTAGTATTACTCTTTGTTAAGTTTTTTATTAAACATATGATTTAAGTGATTTCTAAAAAAAAATAAAATTTAAATGAATGATTTTAATGCATAATTTATTTTGGAATGAATATACAAATATATTTCTAAATCTTCATATTTTATACATTTTTATAGCTTTCTAGCTCTAGCACATCTAGCAATTAGACAGATGTCCAAAACTTTTCTCCTTTTTGTCACAAGCTCTACTGCCAACTTCTTAAAAAAAAAAAACTTCTAATCTAATCTCAACATAGTAATATCACCATAGAAAATTGTTTTACATCTATTAGTACCATCAAGTATATACTTTACCTAGTACTTCTTTAGATTTTGCCCCTTTTTATATCATCAATGTAGCAATGTAGCAATGTAGCATCAAAGAGTCCTCCAGGCAAATCAATTTCGTAAGAAATACTTCAAAGTTAGCAAGCTTTTCTCCAAGAAACAAGGACAAGACCATTAAATGTACCTCCATTGGGAACTTTAATCTCAGGCTTGACAAGCTTGAATTCTCTGCAAAATCTGTCCAGCATGAAGATCTGCGTTCCCTGGCCGACTGCATCGGGAGTGTGAAGGTTCTCTTGTTTCTTATGGAGACGAAAGATCTCACATCTCGAGGAGCTTTCTCGCTGTTTATTGTTGGAAACGAAGTGATGTTTCCCTGGGAGGAATCGATTTCCGACAGCAGTAGTTGGGAAAGCTGTTGAAGCCTTCATGCATCAGCTTGGAAGTTGGAATCACTTGCCTTCCAGATCAGCTTGAGCCAAATATATGATGTTCTCGCTTTCTTTTCATGAGCATGGCTGTAATCGCAGAAAACGCATACCAGAAAAAAAATTTAAAAAAAAACAAAAACTGGGGGTAAGATCCACCCGAGGGTGGGATGCCTTAACCACATCTGTGTGTTCAAACCCGAAGGTTATTCCCGTCCTTGTCGAGGGAGATGCCAAACATCTCTCCATTCTACGAACACGTAAGATATGACCTACACTGCCTATTTATATGGTGGCATTTCCTTGCGCTTGGGCATGTGGGATAAGTTCGCAAAGCCCTAGCCGGCCACGTCAGCTAGGGCTAGGGTTTTGGGCTCATGGAGGGAGCAGCCAAGGCGTCGCGGGCGGGCAGCAAGCGCGCTCGCTTCACGTACGAGGAGCCGGATCCAGACGACGACGATGAGGACGATCAGTAAGTCCCAGCGCTCATTCGAGTGATTGTTCTCCTCCCTCTCAATCCCTTCTTTCTCAGGCCCAGGAAGCTGAAATTTCCTAAAGGAAAGAAGAGCGATGTGTTCGAGCGTGGCGGCGTCGATGAGGAGGAGGACGATGGCGATCCACGCTCGCGCAGTGCACGCATTGCCGCGACCGAGCGGGCGATGCGGCGGAGCGTCATGGCGGAGCAGCTCAGAACCGCGGAGGATACTTCCAATCTCCATGATTTCAGCCAAGCCGAGGAGAGCTTCGAGGTACGCGTCCCAAAAGAGCGTTTTTCCTTTCTTTTTTTCGATCTTCTTCCAACTCTTTGAGCTCCAGAATGACGATGATGCTGTCAAGTTGGAGCCATTCAACTTAAATGCGGAGAGAAGGGATGGCTTCTTTGACGATGATGGCCATTATGTGGAGTACGCGACCAAGTTCGAGGCTCGGGTATGTGAGAAATCTCTTCTCCTGGCTTCGTCTTTGAGTGTGATTTCCTTTTTGACTCCTCTCTTCCAGGACGCTTGGCTGGACAGTGCGGAGGTAGACACTCGGTTCGCGGCCAAACACCTCGCGAGAAAAGATAAAGAGGCTGCCGAGCACGACATTTCTCCTCGAGATATCGGGCTCATGAAGAAGCGGATTGCGGACGCGCTGGAGCCTGGAGAAACGGTGCTTGTTTTTTCTTGTTCGGCATTTTCATGCTTGGTGGTGGCATTCTATTGTCTTGGGTATGTCACTCACGCTAGCAGTTTTTTTTTCCTTTCAACTGGATGTCTGCATATATGCTTGTCCCTAGTGTAGTCATCTCGGTGAATCTCATTTATGAAGGCTCTCCTTACAGGTCCTGGAGGCACTGAGACGACTTAGAGGGTCCACGAAAGAAGGGAATCGACGAGGCAAGCTAACCGGGCCCGCGAAGATCGCCTTCGACCAGCTTACAGAAGATGCAATGAAGCTGATGGACATCGGTGAATCAGGTTTGTCGCCTCAAAAAGCCTCGTCTCCAACTCCTCTAATCTTTGCTCAAATTTCTTCCAGACGTCTACGACAAGGTGCAAGAGAAGTTTCGACGAGAAGCAGGTGAATCAATCCTCCAGAGCTTGCTCTCTGCGTGTTTACGAACTTCTTCGCTTGCAGATGCTGTGCTACAAGAGGAAGTAGACATCTTCTCGGATGAACCTCAAGCGTCCGAGCCTGGCGAGGCGGATGCCAATGGATATGTCTACGATGGATCCTCCGGGTATGAGACCTCTCGACAAGAGCAAGCATTCATATCGTTCTAAGCCGCGGCTTTGACAACGCAGATACTACTACAACGCCGAGACGGGATACTACTACGACCCGAGCTCGGGCCTGTTTTGTAGCGCGGCATCCGGCCAGTGGTAAGCTCCATTTTTCTCTCTGGACTGGAACTTGAATCGAGTCTCTTCCAGGTTTAAGTTCGATGAAGCAACGAATGCGTATGTAGAAGCGGTTTGATCAGCTTGTAAAAAAGAACCATAAGAAATACAAGAATGGTTTCGAATCTCAAAACTGTGGAACAAAACTTTCACTATAGAAGTTAAGCTCGGTCGTCCAAAACTTTAGAACTTTCACTATAATGCCATACGATCACATACTAGTGTAAACCTCGCAAAATTGTATGCTCGTTTCTCAAACCTTGCAAACCTTCTTAGATGTAAAACATGGTGTTCCGGATCTTCTCGTGCATCGGCGGAAGCGGCCGCACTGGTCCAGAGGGAACTCGCCGAGCAGCACGCCTCCCTCCACGAGAACCACCAGTAGCACCAGCAGGACCAGCAGCACCGGCGTCCGACCCTCCTCCACTCGCCGTCGTTGGAGGCGTGGAGCCCTCGGGATCCACCCAAGCCTGCGCTCGCTGTGCTGCCAAGTGAGCGTAATAGCACGGTGGAACTGCAAGAGAAAAGTTATTGTTTTTGCATCGAAAGAGACAAGCTTGAGACCTACCATACGAAACAGCTCGGGTGCAGCGAGAGTAGAGGTAGCAGAGGTCGTGCGTGAACTGCTGGATCTCGTTAGCAGTAAACCCGTTCTCGTCTTTGAGGACGTGGTAGTGCACGGGCCGGCTAGTCCCCTGCACAGTGCCGCAGACAAGTTTAAGAATGAGAAATCACTGTGGGGATTTCTTGGGAGTACCTTGATTCCCTGGTGGCTGCAAAGGTAGAAGTCGAAGTTTGTCGGATGGCACACGACTTTATCGACGATTGTCCCCGGGCTGATGTTCTGGTTTTTCCCAGTCGGCTTCGTGGCCGGGAAAAAACAGGTATGGTGCCTCTTTTGCACCACTATGAACGTGATCTTGGGACCCTTTGATGGTTGCTTGGACCGCTTCTCGGCCTGCTCCGGAGGCCCACCGCTCCAGCCGAGAGCAGAACAAGCCTGCGTGCTAAGATTTTAGACACCCGATCGAAGTCAAAATGTTTACAAACTTACTCGCTGAAGCGACTCGTATTCGCTACGAAGCACAGCCTCGAACTGTCCTTCGCTTACTCCGTCTCTGGAATGTTAATGTAAGCTTCTAAATCCCGACCATTTCCTTTTGTTACCTGTAATAAATTATACGCTCAGGGATAAAGTTCGTCCGGTGATGGAATGCCATCAACATCTCCCTGTTGCAAAGAAAAACAGAAAAACAATGTTAATGCACCACACCGTAAGAACACACTTACTTGAAAATGCCACCACTGACACTACGGCCCTGCTCGTCAACGTTCTCCCAGAACAGGTCGTCCAACATCTCCTGTCGCGAAGGCTGACTTCTCACGACCGTCGCATACTGCGCAAACCCGGGCCAATCCATACTCGCCACAACCTGGATGTTCTTTATGTCAGTGAGAGCATCCATCTTTATATCGCTACGTACCGCTGCCATTGAGCACCCTGTTTCCTCCCCAGCACGAGGATGAGAAACATCCGCACCGATTATCAGAGTTGGCGAGTCTGCTACCGGCTTGCATTTCTTCAGATCTTGCGCACATATAACTGCGTTTTTCCCTCCGAACTGTCGAAACCTCGTCAATAGCCAACGAAAGAAAACATTTCGCACAATACCTTGGCATTGATTTTTAAAATAAGGTTTGCGAGGTAGCGAGGATCACACTTCCTAATTTTACCCTCCTGCGCGCATTGAGTTATGACACCAAGTTCAAGCTCGCATAAGCGCTTGATGGTCACTGTGAAGAAGGAAGAAGTGTTCACTGAATCCCAGTCACCGCAAATCTTACCATAAAATGGCTTGTGTTCACGATCTGGTAGAATGCACACGAGCAGCTGGAGCTCGATATTCCGCTCCGCAAGTTTTTTCACGGAAGACCGTATCGTTTCGTCCACCCTCTGTGGAACAGTCACCACCAGCGGAGGCATTACGACATTCACGTCCAAGCCCTGTAAAAGAAGCATTAAGAAAAGCTAGTAAAAGAAGAATTCTGCAGACGTACCACTCCATAAGAAAGACATGCTGACGAGAGCTGCTGTGCTATCCTTTGAAGGTCATTTTCTCTCACACGGTTAGAGCAGCTAATAATGCCCCAATGTTTGATCTCCCGCCCTTCGACCATTTTCTGCACGCATTCATCTGCGTCATGAATAGCACAATCTTCACAATTGTTCGCACCTTGTTTATCATGTTCCACGTCCCATCGCGGGGACAAATTTCACCATTTCCATACTTCACCTGCACTTACGAATTTTTATTTGTCTACTTCACGAGGTCTGCTAGTAAACCCAACCTTTGGAGGATTAAGAACTCGAGCTGGAACTCTAGTCCAGTTAGGATTGATTTCCACTCCGAACTCTTTGGCGTGATCTTCGCTTTGTTTTTTCAGATTTAAGCAGGCCTGAACAAAAACGTTTGTCGAGGTAGAAATGAAGTGCCCAAACAAACCTGTTGTGTGGCGTTCACGCGTTGCTCAGGTAGGCAGCATGTCATTGCAGAGAGCCCCTTTCTCTGGTCGTCATTCACCCTTCTGGTAAAATTCTGGCCCTTAACGAGTCGGCAGAGCTGTCCAACAACAATGGATTACTCGTCAAACAGCAGAAGGACTATGCAAACCTCGAGCGGGATATACTTTTTCCGATCACCGGATCCTTGCTCCACAGCAGGAAACCCCCCAAATGCCAGGTTTAAACCATAAGTTTGCCGAAAATAATCGACTACGGAAACTTGCATACCATTCATATTAAAGCTTTACAAAAACGACGTTAGCGAAGAACACGAACTTGAAAGCAGGGGGCACTTACTTCAAAGTTTCCAGTGGCTGTCGCGTCAAGCTCACAATCTTGAGCTTTCGTTTGGTCTTGCAGTGACTTGTTTCCACCTTGAGGCCTTTCACCAGCTTCTTCATCTACACAAAAGATCGCTTTTCTTAGGAAAAGCACATTCTAAGATGAAGAAAAAAAAAAGAAAAGAGAAATCTCAACCTTGACGCGGTAAGTGTCGCCCTGTGCATCCTGCCGACGCATGTTACGATCCAGATCGCGAGGATCGGCACCAAAAGACCTGCTCACAAACTCCACCAGAGTCTGCCCCTCCTTGATAAACGCATTCCCGGTCATGTCTGCGAGAAGAGAAAATAAAGAATAAAAGAACGCAACCTGGAAACTCTGGAAACTCGTACCAATGTTAAGGACGAGCAAATTGTCCTGTGCTGGACGGATGGACATATAGAAGCCTTGCCACGCGACGAGGCCGCCTCCAAGATCCTTGTTTCCCAGGTTAGGGGAGAAGAAAGACCGACCACCAGGAACAAGGCTGCAT